AATAATCTGGTGTCGAATCGTACGGTGTCGAATAAATCTGTGTCGAATCGAGCGGTGTCGAATCGTACTGTGGTCAATAGAGTATCACCCCGTTGTAGATGATTGTAGCGTGCGGATTAAGGAATACAACAAACCTACACCGACACAACCTACGCGGATACTGAGTCGCAAGTACACATTAACCAAGACGGGATATAAATATTTTGAACTCGGCATCGGTATCTCATTCAAGGACGCATCACCAACCGTCGATGTGGCTCTAGGTCACAACAATGGGAACGAGGTGCTTTTGTCGCCGGAAACGTGGAACACGTTGTTGGACAACAAACAAGTCATCACATTGTATTTGTCTGGGCAGAGCGACGCGCAGCCGTCGATTCTTGTCGACGATCTAGCGGTATCGTTCAACTTGATAAACAACGCGAGGATCATACGTCTGACTACAAAAACCAGTCGCATATTACTGTCCGACCAATCGATGGGCAACTTGTTCAACTTAAAACATTGCGTTGCAAGCATCATCGCCTACTTGAACATAGTTGTTATTCGCGTGCGAGATCGATTGTCGCGGTATTTCGCGATCCTGTCTGAAATATTAGATCCCGCGAGCTTCGCAGCTGCTGTCGCACAGAGCGGTTGCTTTGACGTCAACGATATTGTCGATTGCGAACTGATGGCTGTATGGTACGTTGTTGCCCGTTAATACACATTATTATTGTTAAATTTTCATTATGTCACATTTGTTATGTTTTACTAAAAATAAACATTTGCTTTATTCTTTAATAACACGGTGTTTTTTATTTCACATTCCTAACAATATGCGTTCCATTACATCCTTTTTGAACCACTTGTCCTCGAGACATAAACACATATCTAGGTTGTTACTTGTTCACTTTTTATTTCGCTTTTTATCTTTTCTCGAAATCTTTAGGTTTGAAATTGCGTTTCAAAAACACCACATCCGGTATGTAACGAGTAGTTATAGTAAACAGGTTCTGGGCCAGGTTTCCAATAGGCGAGTCATGTGCTGTCCTTGTCTATCTAATGGTGTTTCGAGCAGATCGAGCATGCCTTACTGGAAACACTCCATATGATAGAAAGAGTCAGTCAACAACCGAGGGCACCGCAAGGGGAGGGGGAGGAGGGGTGTAACCGCGCGAGGAAAAGGGAAGGGGAGGGGCTAACCGCGTGAAGGAAGGGGAGGGGGAAGGAGTGGTCACGTGTTTTCAAGATCGTTTGGATGATGACGTTATCGCTAAAATATAAAGTGCGCATTAAAAAAAATAATTCCAAGTAAAACCGCAAAGTTCCCGGAAACGGTTCGCGTTTAAAAAATAAATAGCGCGCAGTTTGTAATTGCGCAGCAAATGAATAAAAAATTCCGAAAAAAACCGCAATTTTCCGGAAACAAATAATTCCGAGAGAAACCGCAAAAGTTCCGGGAAGCGGTTCGCGTTTAAAAAGAAATAGCGCGCAGTTTGTAATTGCGCAACAAATACCTAAAAAATTCCGAGAAAAACCGCAATTTCCCGGAAGTGTGTCTTTACTTATCGCCGAAGCGATCAGCCACTTCCGGTTTGCTGACGCACATCCAACGATAACATCCGCGTGAAAAAATCGTTACGTACCGGATGTGGTGTTTTTTTGAACGCAATTTCAAACCTAAAGATTTTGAGGAAAGATAAGAAGCAAAATAAAAAAGCGCCTCGAAATCGGGAGCAAGTCACAAATCATTTAGATCGCAAGGTGTATAGATAAAAAATTGTTGTTGTTGTTGTTGAATATGTATAACGGATTGAACACGACGTGCATTTTAAACCTATCGGTCGAAGAGTTAAAAAACATTCCAAAGAGAGGATAAAAATAAATAACTCCAAGAAAAAAACCGCAAAGTTCCCGGAAGTGGTTCGTGTTTAAAAATAAATAACGCGCAGTTTGTAATTACGCAGCAAATAAAAAAAATCTCAAAAAAAACCACAATTTCCCGGAAGTGAGCCTGTTCTTATCGCCCGAAGCGATCAGTCACTTCCGGTTTGATGACGCACTTCCTATGATAACGTCCGCGTGAAAAACCGTTACGTACCGGATGTGGTGTTTGTAAAACGCAATTTCAAACCAAAAGATTGTGAGGAAAGATAAGGAGCAAAATAAAAAGGTGCCTCGAGGTAGGGAACGAGTCACAAGTCATTTTGATTGCAAGTTGTATAGATAACAAGTCGTTGTTGTTGTTGAAATGTTTAACGGAGTGAACACAACGTGCATTTTAAACCTATCGATCGAAGAGTTGAAAAACATTCCAAAGAGGATTCTTCTAGAAGTGTTTGATAATTACGTGGAGCTTTTGTGGGACCGATTGCCTGAGCATTTGAAGGAAGATCCTGAGGTGCAGCTGTATCGTAGATGTCTCGAGAATTACAATCAACCGGGAGATTACGATCACATTGACGGACCTGCTCCGCTGAAAAAATATTGTCGCGTGTGTATTGCGAAAGCCACGATGGAAAATCAAGAATGAATTAAATCAGACAACCGAAATCGCTTCAGTTCTTAGCTGCGAAAACTGTAGCAAAACACATAGACGAGTACATTAAAATACACAATCTTGAAATTTCTAACGTGTGCAAGGACGCAATACGAGAGATCTGGTTCGATGTACGGCTCTACCGCTACGATCGCGATATACATTGGTTATCGGTGCACGATCTACCTGAGGAACAAATATGGGAAGTGGAAAACAATTTCAATGAAGAGGATTTGAAAATCGTGCAACTATCCGCGCTCACAATTAGAGAATGCGAGCGGCTTCTAAGGTACGTCGAGACTGTCAATCACATCGAAATCGCGTACATCGAGTTTAGAACGAGTAGCGCGGACCTGAAACATCTGTCTCGCTTGTGCATCCGATGCGCGTTGCGAGTGTGGGTGTGGTGTAAACGACAACATCGGTACAAGTGGTTGCAGAATAGGTGGGTAAAAGGCACCGGACATCAAATGATCGAAGACGCTGATTTCATGACAGAC